ATTTAACGATGGTCAATAGTAGTTGACCTGGGTCAACGGTATTTGACTATAGTCAATAATTGTTGACCGTGGTCAATGGTATTTTACTGTAATCAGTATTTGTTGACCGTTGTCCACGGTATTTTACTGTAGTCATTAGTAGTTGACAGTGGTTCATAGTAGTTGATTATAAACAAGAGTAGTTGACAGTAGGCAACGATATTTTACTGTACTTGTCAGTAATTGCCAACTGTCAATTGTATTGACGGTAAGGAACGGTAATTTGATTTTAGTCATCAGTAGTTGATAATGGTCAATAGTAGTTGACGGTGGTCAATAGTATTTAACGGTGGGCATTAGTATTTAACGGTGGGCAACAGTATTTGACGGTAGGTGACGGTATCTGACAGTAGTTAATAGTATAGTTGACGGTAGTTAATAGTAGTTAACGGTACCTATCACTAATTGACAACTGTCAACAGTATTTGACGGTAAGGAACGGTATTTGACAGTAGTTAACAGTATAGTTGACGGAAGTTAACAGTAGTTGACGGTAGGGAACGGTATTTGACTGCAGCTATCAGTAGTTGAAAATAGTCTACAGTAGTTGACGGTGGTCAATAGTATTTAAAGGTGGGCCACAATATAGTTGACGGTAGGGAACGGTATTTGACAGTAGTTAATAGTATAGTTGACGGTAGTTAATAGAAGTTAACGGTAGCTTTCAGTAATTAACAATGGGCAACAGTATTTGATAGTAGTTTACGGTAAGGAACGGTATTTGACAGTAGTTAGCAGTATAGTTGGCGGAAGTTAACAGTAGTTGACGGTAGGGAACGGTATTTGACTGTAGGTATCAGTAGTTGAAAATAGTAAACAGTAGTTGACGGTGGTTAACATTATAGTTGATGGTGGTTAATAGTAGTTGTCGGTAGTTGACAGTAGTTGACGGTATTTAACCGTAGTTGACGGTAGTTAACAGTAGTTGACGGTAGTAAACAGTATTTGTCAACTTACAAAGTTGACGATAGTCAACTTCTGATGACTGAAGTCAAGTACCGTTGATTACTGTCAACTATCGTCAACTACTGTCAACCACTGTCAAATACTGTCAATTACTGCTTACTATTATTTCCTTCAAAAAAATGTAATTTTTGCCTCTAGAAAATATTTGTCTTTAATTTAGTACAACTACCCTCAACTACTGTCAATTACCGTCAACTATTATTATTTTACATAAAAAATCCAAATTTTTTTTAAACCCCAAATTAAATTTCAAATTAGTTTCAACGTTAAAACTATAATTAAAGAAAAAAATTGCAACACTAAATTAGAATTGATCTCATCTTCTAATTGCAATACAATTTTCCAATGAATATTTTTCTGGGCTTTTTTTTCTCGCATTCTGCGTGAAACGAAATTTTTACAAACTGTTGGTGTATGAAGGAGTGAAAAGTGTGTAAGGAAAAGAATTGCCTGCGCCTCGGTTCGCTGCATTTTTATTCTTTTTAGCATTTAGAAAACGGAACTGCCATATTAGCTGACAAGAACGGTGCACACAGTCTATTTAGTTTGCGAAAAGAGAGAAAAAAAAGAGAAGAACGCTCGTAGGTTTGTTCACTCACAAAATCGACAAGTTACATAGTTTCAAAGTGGAAAAAAATATAACTTGACACAACACGATATTCTATAGGTGAAAAAAAATATTTCTCAAAAAAAATTAGTTTTTTCTAACTTAAAAAGTGAATTTTTCAATAACATTTAATTTTTCACTAGTAATTAGTTATTTTCTACTATAGTAATTAATTCTATTTAGTAACAATTAGTTATTTTTACTAACAATTAGTTCTTTTTACCTAACAATTAGTTTTTCTCTAAGAATTAGTGATTTTCTCGATGAGAATTAATTTTTTTTTCTACTTAAAAAAGTGTATTTTTCAATAATATTTATTTTTTCACTTAATAATTTTTTTTTCTAATAATTAATTCCATTTAGTTTTTTTTACTGAAAATTAAGAGATTTTTTAATAAAATTATATTATCACTAACAATTAGTTATTTTCAAGCAATAATTAATTATATAAACTAAAAATTATTTTTTCACTATCAATTAGCTAAGTTTTATTAACAGTTATTTACTTATTAGTGGCAATTAGTTGTAATAATTTAGCTGAATAATTTACTATGAATTCATTTCTATATTTTTTTACACTAATTATTAGGTAGTAATTAATTTTTTAACTAATTGTTGACGACTTTTGAATTTTATGAGAGAATGCAATTTTTTTTGCAATGAGCTAATGACATTTTATCATCAAAAATTTACATTGTTATTTTGTGACTAATTGAGATTTATAAAGTAGTCTCTCGTTTATATACAAGCATTTTAGCTTTTTAAAGACTATAAAACTTTTTATTGAATCAAGTAAAAAGTCTCATGACTGTTATAACAGTAAATAGACTTCAAATTTTTTTTTGCCTTTCTTTTTTTTGCCATAAAAATTATGAGGTCAATTATTAAGTCAAATTAATGACTAATAATTATTATTTATTATGCGAAGAAAAAGTGTATTATACAAAAATATCGTTTTCTGATAATTATTTTTAATTTCAGTTGATTAATTATTTTTTTATTTAGACAAAATTTTCCTTTGTTATCACAATAATTTATTAAGCCGGAATATTTATTGTTGTATTTTATATTAGTATATTTTTGCGAATTTTCAATTATGGAGTTTTTATATGTTTGGCCTAATTTTCAATTTTTGAATTTTCATTTTTAGCCGAATTTTCAATTGTAGAATTTTTTTATTTGGCCGAATTTTCATTTATAGAATTTTTATATTTCGCCGAATTTTCCATTATTTTCAATTATAGAATTTCAATGTATTGCAAAAAAAAATTTTTTTGTCAATGAAAATTTGGCTAAATATATTGGCTAAATAAAAAATTTTGCTAAACGAAAATTAGTCAAATAAACTAAAATTATAAAATGTAGTTCAGTACAAAATTTTCGTTTAAAAAAAATACAGATTTCAGTGAAAATGTTTGCTAAATATAAATTTTTTTTAGTAAAATTTATTAGCCAAATGAATAATTCTACGAAAATCAATATGAAGCAAAAAAAAAAAACTAAAAAGAAAACGAATTCAGTTAAATTGAAAACTTTAATTTTCAGGACAAACATATTCGCCAAATAAAAATTAATTTCGCATAGAATTTTTCAGACAAATGATAAATTTCGCTAAACAAAAATTAGGCTAAAGAAAAAAATAAAAATTCTATAATGTAGATTAATAAAAAAATAAGTAAATAAATAAAATGTGTAATTTGCAGTAAAAAATTTCCGTTTAATAGAAATTCATTATTTTAAGCAAAATTTTTATCAAATGACAATTTAGTTTAGTTAAATTTTTTCGCTAAATAAAAAATTCAGTTAAATTAAATTTTAAGAAAGCAAAAAATTTAATTTATTAAAAAAAACTATTTTAGTGTAAATTTCATCAAAGCAAAATAAGTTCAATATTTTTGGCAAATTAATATGAATAGTTTACAAATGTCCTTTTTGGCTAAATGAAATTAAATGAAAATTTTGCTAAACGAAAATTTAAGCGCTTAATAGAATTTAAATTTATCAAGCAAAAAATTGTTGTTATCTCAAAAATTAGTTTAATTTTTTGTTTTTGTCAAAAATTTGTCAATTCGGCCAAATAAAAAATTAGTTTAGTAAATTTTCTTTTTTTTAGCAAAATTAAAAAAATTTCGCCAAATAAACATTTAGTTAATTTAAACAAAAGAGTGTAAAAATTAAATTTTCGCGGAAATTTAAAGCAGAGAAATATTTTCGTTTTGTTTCTATTTCCGGAAAAATACTAAAATTTAGCCGCAAAATAAAAATTAGGCCGAATTTACAAAAATAGTGTAAAAATTATAAATATTCAACGAGCAAAAAATTTTGCTTTCTTAAAAATTAGTTCATTTTTTCTTTTTTAACAAAAATTTAACAATTCGGCCAAATAAAAATATCAAAATTTAAAAATTTGGCCAAATAAAAATATTAAAATTTAAATATTTGTCCAAAAAAACATTTAGTCAAATTAAACAAAAGAATATTGAAATTAAATATTCGCGGAAATAACAAACAAAAAAATATTTTGGTTAATTTTTTATTTTCCGCAAAATTAAAAAATTCGGCCCAATGAAAATTAGGCTGACTATAAAGAAATAGTGTAAAAATAATAAATATTCTTGAAATTAAATTCAAAAAAATATTTTAGTTCATTTTTTATATTCGGCAAAATTAAAAAATTCGGTCAAATAAAAATTAGGCCGAATTTAATTTCAGAATAATTTTTATTTGGCCTAATATTTATTGTATTTTTAAGAAATAATGTAAAAATGAAATATTCTCGAAATTAAAAGCAGAAAAATAGTTTGGTTCATTTTTTATTTTCGGCAAAATACAAAAATTCGGCTAAATAAAAATTAGGCCGAATTTAAATTTAGAATAATTTTTATTTGGTCTAATTTTTATTGTACTTTTAAGAAATGGTGTAAAAATGAAATATTCTCGAAATGAAAAGCAGAAAAATATTTTGGTTCATTTTTTATTTTCCGCAAAATAGAAAAATTCGGCCAAATAAAAATTAGGCCGAATTTATATACGACCTAATTTTTATTTGGCCTTATTTTGCATTTTATTATTAAGAAATATTGTAGAAATAAAATATTCGCGAAATTGAAATCAGAAAAAAATTTTTTATTTCTTTTTATTTTACTTGGAAAATGTGAAAATTCGGCCAAATGGAAATTAGGCCGAATTTAAAGAAATAGTGTAAATAGTGAAATATTCTCGAAATTAAAAGCAGAAAAATATTTTTATTCATTTTTCTGCTAAATTTAAAGATTCGGCCAAATTAGGCCGAATTGGAGAAAAAAAATAGAGAAATTTAATATTTTGGTAAATTTTTGGCTGGGGTTTTTTTCGAATAAACGAAAAATAGGTAAAAAAAAAAACTAACCTTGCTTTGAACGTAGTCGAGGGCGAGCATGCAGTCGGAATATCCGCTTTCGGTTTTGATGGTGGTACCACCTTGGCCGGGGGCGGTGGAGCAAAATCCGGAACCGACAACTCCTACCGGGCCACCAAGCCCGGCGGCGGCAGCCGCGGCGACGCTCTCCCGGTACCAGGGGTACATATCGTTACCCGGGTTAGGCGTAATTTTTCCTGAATTCCACTCTCACTTTTCGCAAAAAAAACAATGCAACACTTTTTTTTTTTTTTTAATAAACCGAAAGTATTCAAAAATTCAATTTCCCACTGAATTCTTTTTTTCTTTTTGCTGTTTTCCTCCCTTTTTTTTATTTAAATCCTTTCACTTTATTGAAAATTTCCTTTTTATTTTTTTTCAACTCCTTTTTTTCTAATCTATCGATTTAAGTGAATATTGCACTTTGTTATTATTATCGTCAGGACCAGCGGGGTCGGAAAATTGTCCGAATTCGGTTTCATTGTCTTTTATTCACTTTCCTTTCTATTCACCTTTAACTTTGTGTCACTAGTTTTATTTTTTTTCTCTCTCTTTTTTTTCTCTCTCACTTTTAGTAAATTATTGCTTACAACAAAAAAAATTTTTTTTTTACTACTGCGGACAATATTGTTTTGTTTTTATTTACTTCGGACACTTGATTATTTATTGCGGAACTTTTTTAAGGGAGGGAAGTTTATTTACTACGGACACTATTTTCTAGTAATTATTTTCTGCGGACACTTTTTTTTCTTCGGACACTTGTTTCCTTTTTTGTTTATTTTCTGCGGACACTTTTTTTCGGGCACTTGTTTCCTTTTTTGTTTATTTTCCTTAGGACACTTTTTTCTTTTTTTGTTTATTTTCCTTAGGACACTTTTTTCTCTGTTTGTTTATTTTCCTTAGGACACTTTTTTCTTTTTTTGTTTATTTTCCTTAGGACAATTTTTTCCTCTGTTTACTTATTTTCCTTAGGACACTTTTTTTTCTATTTTTGTTTATTTTCCTTAGGACACTTTTTTCTCTTTATGTTTATTTTCCTTAGGACACTTTATTTACTCCTTGAATCAATTTTCCTAGGACACTTGTTTACTCCTTGAGTTAATTTTCCAAGGACAGTTATTTACTCTTTGAGTTAATTTTCCAAGGACAGTTGTTTACTTTTTGTGTTTATTTCCCTAGGACACTTGTTTATCTTTTGTGTGTTTATTTTCCCAGGACACTTGTTTACCTTTTGTGTTTATTTTCACTCCGTGTGTTTATTTTCCCAGGACAATTGTTTACTTTTTATTATTTATTTCCTTGATGGGCATTTATTTACCTACAAATATTTTCTTACTGCTTATTTTTTTATTGATGTTTACGTTTCTATTTATTCTCGCAGTGACTTTTATACAAAGTCACTTAGAGTTTTTTTTGTTTATATTTTTTATTTATTAGTATTAGTGTTATTTGTTTTTTTTTTACTTAGGTCACTATTTTACAGTTATTATTATACGTTATTTAACCTCGAGCGTCACTTTATTACATGTTTTGTATTTCGTGACGATATTTTTTTTGTAGATTTTTTCTATACAATAATTATATTGCGTTTATCATTAATTACAGGTTATGTAATTAAATATATCTTCTTCGTTTTCTTCTTTCTTGTTTATTTCTTTTCCTTCTTCTTCTTCTTCTTCTTTTCCTTGTTTTATCTTCTTTTTCTTTTTTCCTTCTTTTCCCCTTTTCTTCTTTTTTCCTTCTTTTTCTCCTTTTTTCCTTCTTTTCCCTTTTTCTTCTTTTTTCCTTCTTTTTCTCCTTTTCTTCTTTTTTCTTTCTTTTCTCCTTTTCTTCTTTTCCCCTTCTTTTCTCCTTTTTTTCTTCTTTTCTTCTTCTTCTTTTTCTGCTTTAAAGCTGAAAAATTATTTCTTCTTTGTTAGGAGAAAAAAATTCATAAAGACGAATCAGTCTTTTTATTTAATAAATAATATATAATTTGCAATTAAATTAAAGCACCGATTTCTATTGCACTTCTTCCGGTTTCTCCTCCACTATTTTCTACACTCTTTTCCACTATTTTCTTCTCTACTTCACTATTTTTCTACTCTTCTCCACTATTTTCTTTACTCCTCCACTATTTTTTTAATCTTCTTCCCTCTTTTCTTTACTCCTCTACTATTTTTTTCACCTTCTTCTCTATTTTCTTTACTCCTCCACTATTTTCTTTTATCTTCTTCCCAATAATCCTCTTTTTTAGTCTATTTTCTTACTTCTTCTCCACTAATTTTTTCTCTTCTCCAATAATTTTTTATTTCTCTTCTTTCTTCCCTGTTCTTCAATGTTCTCTTCTTCTTTTCCACTATTTCCCTCCTTTTCCAATATTTTCTTCTTTTCTCCACTATTTTCTGACCTTCTTTCTTTCTTCTCCACTATTTTTTATTCTTCTCCACTATTTTTTTTTCTTCTCCACTATTTATTATTCTTCTCCACTATTTTTTTTTCTTCTCCACTATTTATTATTCTTCTCCACTATTTTTTTTTCTTCTCCACTATTTTTTGTTCTTCTCCACTATTTTTCTCTTCTCCTCCACTACTTTTTTCCAGCTCCACTATATTTTTTTCTTTCCTTTACTATTTTCTTCTTTCCTACACTCTTTTTTACTTCTTCTTCTCCAGTTTTTGCTCCTTTATTATCTCCTTGTGATACACTATTTTTGATCTCCTTTAAATACACTTTTTTTCTCTTTTTAATTCACTGTTTTGTTTATTACCATTTTAAAAACACTTTTTATCTCCGTTAAGTACACTATTTGTCTTTGTTTAACACACTATTTGTCTCCGTTTAACACACTATTTGTCTCCGTTGAAAACACTTTTTTATCTCTTTTTAATACACTGTTTGTTTGTCTCCATTTAATTCACTGTTTATCTCCGTTCAATTCACTGTTTTTTTTTCTATTCCCCCTCCAATACACTATTTTTCACTCTTCTTCTCTAATACACTATTTTCATCTCCTTCTAATTTGCCGCTTTCCATCTCTCTCTCTCTCTCCTTCCACGAAATGTTCCTCTCTTCCCACTCCGATACACTATTTCACCTCTCCCACTCTAATACACTGCCTCTAATGCTCTCTAATCCCCATCTTCCTTTTCTAACGCACAGTGTCTTTCTCTCCTTCCCTCTCTCTCTCTCTCTTTACCAAACTCGAAATTTTTCCTTCCCCTTCCACTTTTTCCCTTAACCCCTCTTTTTTCAAAACGAGTAGGAGAAGAGGGTGGGGGGGGGAGAAAAGCAAATTATTATTCCCCAAAAATCCTTTTTGCCAAAAACGAATAGGGGAAGAAGGGTGGAGGGGGGAGAAGGAGAAATTAAAATCGTCCCCCAAAAATCTTTATTGCAAAAAATTAAAATAATTTTCTCTTTCAGAATTTTTTGCAAATAAATATTTTAAATGCGAAATATTTGTCTTTTGAAGCACGTGTGTCAAAAATAATTCTATTCTTTTAGAATAATATAGACAAAAATGAGAGAGGGGTTTTTTTTTGTAATTTAGTGGGTGGTGGTGGGGGGAGAGGAGAAGATGGTTCCAAAAAAAAAACAATATGGTCAATATAAACCCCGGGCAAAGGTATATAATAGTGAACCGTGGACCGCGAACGCGGTTTCTACACTGACGCGGGATTCACGATTCGAACTCACATTCGGGTGGAATCGGCACGTTCGGAAATATTCGTAATTCAACGCGGACACGGTCGGCGCGTTCGTTACTTGTTTTCTCGGTGTGTGAGTGTGTGTTTGGAAACTTGGGTGGGGGAGAGAATCAGGTGGTTTGTATATAGTATATAGTATAGTTATAGAAGAGAGCAACTCCTTGAATTCTCTCTTTTACTTGATTCCACTCGGTACGCGCGTGTGGCGGGGGTGTTGGGAACACGCCTGACGGGAGGGAGGGAGGGCAAAAAGGAGGAGCGTCTAGGGGGGGAGAGAAGGAGGAGACGAGACCATTTTTCTCTATATATATGTATATATATTGTTTCCTTAGGTGTGCGCATTCTCTCTCTCTCTCTCTCTCTCTCACTCGTCATTCCCCTAAATAGTTTCCTTTTGATAACAATTAAACGTTTATAAAAGGTAATTGAAATAATCTGATGACATTTTTCATTTTTAATTCACGTTGTCTTTTTTTCTCAGGAAATCGTTTCCGACTTCTTTTTGCGAATTTAATCTTGATTTTTAAAAATAGTATTTTTTTTTTAATTAGAAAATTGTTAGTTAATAAAATTTTACAAAATAGGAAAAATGGAAATAGGGGAAATAATAATAAAAAATAGAAAAATAATATTGAAAATAGCAAACAAAAACGTGAATACAATAGCATAAATATATAGTATAAGAACAACAAAACTTAAAATCAAAATAGCAATAATGATAACAATAGCAAAAATAACAAAAATGTGAATAGCGAAAAATTAGATAAACTGAAAAAATATTAAAAATAGCAAAAAAAAATTCAAAACAGCAAGAAAAATAAACAAAATAGAAAAAATATTGAATATAGCAAGAAAAATAAACAAAATAGAAAAAATATTGAATATAGCAAGAAAATAAGGTAAATTGCAAGAATATTGAAAATAGCAAAAGAAAAAAGTAAATTGCAGACATAATAACAATAATAACAAAAAATAATGTTAATAATGGCTAACTATAAGAATAGCAGTAAAAAATAACAAAATAGCAAAGAAAATAATGAAAATAGCATAAACAGTAAGAAAAACAGCAAAAATATATTTTTTAAAAAACCGAAGAAAATAATGAAAATAGCATAAATAATAATAAGAAAAATAGCAGAAAGATTGAAAATAACATAAAATATAAATAAAGAAAAAAACAGCAATATTCAAAACAGCAAAAAAAAAAAAATAAAAATAGCAAAAAAAAAATTTTAAATTGCAAAAAAATAAAGTAAATTGAAAAAATATTAAAACAATAAAAAAAGCAAAAATAATAAAGAAAATAGCAGAAGGATTGAAAGTAGCGAAAACAAAACAAGAAAAGTAGCAAAAAATTAATGAAAATAACAAAAAATTTTCAAAAATAGAAAAAATAATATTAATACCAAAGACAATAATAAAAATAACAAAAACTATAATTATAGTATAAAAATTTTGCAAATATAGTACCTACAAATGATAATAGCAAAAAAAATAATAATGAAAACAAATACCATAAAAATAACAAAAGTCAGAATTAAAATGGAAAAAACAATAAAAAAATAGCAAAAAATAAATTAATTTTAGAAAAATATTCAAGCATAATAAAAATAATATGGAAAATAGCAAAAATATATAAATTATCAAAAATAATAAGAAAAACAGCAAAATGAAAAAAAATTAACAATAGCAAAAAAATAATATAGCAAAACTAATAAAATAGGAAATAATAATAATAATAATAATAATAATAATAATAATAATAATAATAATAATAATAATAATAATAATAGCAAAAATATTAAGTATTCAAAAATAGTTGGAAAAATAGTAAAGAATGAAAAAAAATGTAAAAATAATAGAAAGTATTTAAAAATTTTATTAAAAAAAAAAAGAAATGGAGAAAAAATATATAAAACAATATTACAGAAACTAAAAAAATGAACAAAAAACAAAAATGAAGAAAATAAAAAAAGAAAACAAAACAAAAATACAGAACTAAAAAAAAAGCAAACCAAAGAATACAATAATAAAAAATTATAAACAAAATAAAAATACAAAAACTAAAGAAAATAAATAAAACAAAAATACAAAAACTGACTAAAAAAATCAAAAATACAAAAACTATGGAAAAATAAACAAATTAAAAATAAAAAAGCAGAAGAAAATTAACAAAACAAAAATACAAA